TTCGAATAGTGATAGCTAAGTCATTGGTATAATTCGAATAGTGATAGTTAAGTTATTGGTGTAAGTCGAATAGTGATAGCTAAGTTATTGGTGTAATTCGAATAGTGATAGTTAAGTTATTGGTGTAATTCGAATAGTGATAGCTAAGTCATTGGTATAATTCGAATAGTGATAGCTAAGTCATTGGTGTAATTCGAATAGTGATAGCTAAGTCATTGGTGTAATTCGAATAGTGATAGTTAAGTCATTGGTATAATTCGAATAGTGATAGTTAAGTCATTGGTGTAATTCGAATAGTGATAGCTAAGTCATTGGTGTAATTCGAATAGTGATAGCTAAGTCATTGGTATAATTCGAATAGTGATAGCTAAGTCATTGGTGTAATTCGAATAGTGATAGCTAAGTCATTGGTGTAATTCGAATAGTGATAGGTAAGTCATTGGTGTAATTCGAATAGTGATAGATAAGTCATTGGTGTAATTTGAATAGTGATAGCTAAGTCATTGGTGTAATTCGAATAGTGATAGCTAAGTCGATACAAAACTTCCTTTAATTTTGAGTAAACAGTTTTCTTCTCAGAAACCTGCCAGACAAACAACCAATACTATAAAAATACAATTTTTTTAACATAAATTATGTTAATAGGCTTAAGCACTCAGTCCTGTTGTTGGATATTTATCTTACTGGTTTCCGATTTTTTATTTTATTGTGCGTATAAGTGGGTTCCGAAAAAAATATTCATACTCAATCACGCAGTAAATGAGAGGGATGAAAATAAAATTATTTAAAACAATTTAAGTAGAAAAAAGGAAACAGACAAGTGAGGGGAGGGAGGGAAGAGGAGAGTTTTAAATAAGTAACTGTAGACTATAGAATAAGCAAAATAAAAATAACTTTTGACTTACTGGAAGAGAAGGTACGGTTTCTTAATTAATACTATCTTACTGAAGTACCTTACATTGGTTTAACACAACTGATTGTTTGTCGGTAAGCACAAAACTGCACAGTGGGATATATGTGCTGTGCTCAGTACAAGGATCGAACCCCAGATTTAACGCTTACCGATGAGTTGCCTTCTTCTCCTGTCTACCGCCATATTAAAACCAGTGTGATACCCTATCGTTTCTAATGTTAACATGCGATTAATATTATGGCTAACAAAAGCTAGTTGCTTAAGAGACGGTTTTACAAAGACACTATGTAAAAAATTATACCAAAATTAAGGACACCTAGCACAGACAGTTCTTGCGTAATCCTTGCGCAAATATTCAAAACAAACAAACACGCGAATTATTTTTTTGGTTATTCATGGAATGGGCTCGAGTTTTCCATGGATTACTTTTGGGTTTCACCTGGGTTTTTCTTGGTTTTACATGAATCACTTTTAGGTTTTTTTACATTCATAATTAACGCGTCTTGCTTGTATTTCGAGGATTACTGTTTTATCGTACTATGATTCAATCAAGATAATATAAAACCAGCAGTAACTATTTCAAGATCAAATAACATTCTACAAATGTTTTCCACTGAGTGAAACAGGAAAGCAAAAATAATGGTTGTACAATAAAACAAGAGATATAATACTATAAGCCCCGGGAATATAAAACGTATTACCACTCTTTTCATACGAGACATTATATTTATTTCCTAAAATTTTGTTTGTTAAATATGTATACAGTTCAGTCTTTTATTTTTAATAATTTCACATTGGATGAGGGTTTCCGAAAAAGAGAAAAAAAAAAATCCCCCGTGATATTTTTCCATCGCACTTTCTCAGAAAGCCAGAAATAAAGCAATCAAAGTAAGATTTATTTCATAAAATTTCCTTCAATTCCTCAATATTGTTTTCATCTGTGTCTTCTTCTTCTTGCATTACCGCGTCGTTGGTTGCACGGTACATTAGTTTTTGGTTAGGAGCAATAGTGATATACGTCTCTTTCAACTGCTGCCGAGGAATACCTGTTTTATTTCGAGGTGAGCAGTTAAAGGCAGAGAGGAAAACTAATATAGATTGGAGATTAAGGATCTTTCTTATTCAGTCCATGGTACAAATTTTGTTTTTCTGCCTCGTG